CCGAACGTAAGCCTGACAAAATTTAACTGCTACACGAGTTCCTATCTTTGCGCTGCTATATTGAAGTGTGAGAATAATTTCGTAATTATTTAAATATAAACAATATGTTTAAAAACAAAACAAATTAAGGCTTGGCTCTTCTGGATTGGATGAGTCGTCCCTGCTGTTCTTGCAAAGTTTATGAAATCAAGTTATTGTAGGACTGGAGATCTTCTTTCTCAGATAATAACCCCCCTGATTCGCTTGACTTTCATTTCTTTACGTGGAGTACATGTTTTATATCTAAAGGTCTGTTAAATGTGATTGTCTACAATGGCCACTAAACCACATGCTAGCTAACTTTTCCAATCTCCAAGATGTAAATGAAAATAAATGGAGCTCTGTATGAATTTGGATATAAAACGTAGTAATGAACAATAAAGTTGCAGATTAGTGATATTTGTATTTGTTTCCATTTTTATATGATTAAAGAGTAACACGAGTAATCTCAGTCTTGAAGAGGATTGTTACACATCCTATCACTTTTTACTACGATGAAGTCCAGATGAAGAAGTTCTTCACTTTCAGTAGGGTTTTCGAATATTACATCATAACTTCCTGTTCCAGATCATTTGTTGTTGAAACAACGTACCCTAAAGTTTCCGGTGTTTTGAAAACTATATCGTTTGGAGAAGTTACACAATGCTATCACGACGAATAAAGTCTTCGGAGAAGTCAAAGATTTCGTGGGTACTTCAAGGTATACAATTGAATAAAAGCATACAATATTGTCAGTAATGGTTTTTAATGGGAAATAGGTTCAGCACCATTTTTCGCGAGTAACCTCAAATCTTTGATGGGAGCATCACACATCCGATTCTCTTTTGTACGATGCAAAAGACTGTTGAAAGCAAACATCAGAGAAACTTACTGCGTGAATTGACTTTCACCAAGGTAATACAAACATTTCTCGTTTGTTTTCACACTGTACAACCAATCTTACCTACGTTTAAGGAAAAGAGGATTCATGCTCTGTAAATACTGAAGGAGAAGGTTAAAGGTACTAGGCGTACAGCAGAAAGGGAATTTATACCTAACAGAAAAATACAAAAATACTCTACAGAATTAGTGCTTGTGATGCCAGTAAATATTTTTTCATTGCACAAAGTTTTAATATCGTTTAATATTAATGTTACAAAACTATTTAATATGGCAATCTATCAGTTCACACAATAGACCTACTCCATTTTACAAATATTCACACCTTCAGTATAATGGGATGAATAGAAAACCGTAAAAGGTTTCACCCTAAAATGTTTCATTTTTCTTAACTTGTGTTACATATATTGAAGTGTGCAATCAGTCGGTCTCCATTCCTTTTTAACTTCAAAGGGGATATTGTTTTCACCTTGACTGTTTAAGAGTATAAAAATCACTTCAACAATTCGATCTCGTATTTTGGTTTATTTGATTTGGTATATTATCGAAAGAAGAATAATTAAAACTGTGCGAGAGTAGTAAAATCTGCGCACGTTTTCCTGAGCTCCAGAAGCCATTTTCCACCATTCGACTATAAATGGTTGGATTAGGGGTTGAAGTAACAACAAAGCGAAGTTCACACCATTTGAGAGCTGCATAAATTTTCAGGACCAAAGTTATAAAAGGTCATGTCCATCTGCTTATTTTCTGTCGTGAAATGAGTCTTTGAGGTTCTGTCTATTTGTAACTTCCTATACACATTAAAGTTAAGAACTATTGTCCTGTTCCAAAGATGGTTACTAGTGTGATGAAGACTAGTGAAGATAGCGAAGAGATGGGCACTTTTGTACTAGAAAATCGGGTTGTCTGTCATTGTGCCGCGCATAACTCCAAATTAGAAGCTTTTAAGCAAAAAATCAAAATATATAAATAAATAGGTGAATACAGTGGGAGAAAAATCTAGTGGCGCCTCCAAAATTATTATTAATAAATATAATAATCATTTAATAATAATTTTAAGTATCACCATTAAGATTATAAATTTTGGAGGGTGGGAATTCCCTGTGACATTCTCAATTTTTTTCTGGAAATCAGCGACAAATCTTTTCCTTTAAATTTTTATCCAAATAGAAGAAAGTATACAAATTGTATATTTCTGATGTTCATTAAAACTTGTTGATTTCGAAACTTGAAAAGGTTCAAATTTATTTTCGATCCTCTCCTGCACCTTCAAAATTAACGCCGATTTATTTCTTAGTGAAATGTATCCCTCAGATTTCGATCTTTAAATGATGTCATGCACTATAACAAATGAGTATTTGTTGAGTAATAACACTAACAGGAGGAAAAGTATCGGTACTCCGAGCATTCGCACTTTCATATTGCAAAATATTTACTGGTTTACGTCACTAGATCGTGCACCACACATCATCCGTTATCGCAACGGAAAGGTGCGCTTTCATTAATGACGTCGGAGGTGTTAACACAAGTCGAAGTGTTTGTGTGAAGACTACAGTGTCGGCGGTTTCACCATATGTTAATATCTGCGTATGAACTTTTTCGGACGGTGGATAAAAGCAAAAAACAAAGATTTTTCTGAATAATATTATTTTTATGAAGTCGTAGGCTTCCGCGGCCAGAGTCATGTGCGTGATCTTGGCTGGCCGGGTGACGCCGCGTCGAAGGCCGTGTTGCCGACGTTTTGACCATTCTGTCGTGGTCTTCCTCAGGGCTGGTATGCGAGCATGCATGCGGTATGCATGCTATGCGAGCATGCATACGGGTTGGTATTCATGCCCTTCAGCCATGAGCTTCATTGAAAAGGAGAATATCTTCGTACTCGCGATAGAATTTCTCTTCGTTGAAGTTTTCTTGATCATTTCCTAACATGACTTTAAAATTTTGTTAGAAACGAAAGTCATCATTCTACGTTCTTCAGTTCCTAGTTATATTGTTCATCAACTGCAATACTGCCACAATGCGAAAATACGAATTTTGAATAATGTCTGTCTCTTTCATAACATTTTATAACAATTCAAGTAACAAACTCCTATAAACTCCCACCGCCTTTCACCAATGGTTACTCTGTAATCCAGCAATTATTAAGCGTGTGAAACCTGCATTTAAGTCGCTAGCGAAACCTTTACATTTCATTATTTCAAAGCTTTATTTTTCGAGTTGCAGTGTATGAAGGATATCACCGTAGGTACTTTCGCAATAACAATGTTGTCTTTGTATCTTTCTATAACCGTGTAATAACTCATGTTCTTTTTGAATTGTAGTTTTGTTTCCACTTAACACTTGATGTTACTAAATAAGAAAGCAAATATTTTGTGTTTGTTTACAAGTGTTGAAGTTTTGTTGGGGTGTCATGCTATTGATGTAAGGTTCTCTTCTCTCCTTATAAATGTAATGAAGCATGTAACGGTGGTCATTTACATTATCCCATCTTTTGTTTCAGGTAAGACGAGACGAAAGGGGTAAAATCAGAACGAGTAACGTGAGTACGAATTTCTACTGTTGGATTCAGATAACGTTTCTAGTACCGAAACATTATTATTGGACGTTGTCTTCACATTCGCATCATTTAATATTGATATTCAAAGTAGAATTCGTCTTCAAAGTGGAATTCAGGATGTCAAATAAAACAGAATTGATGTCGTTGATGCCTCCTGTCGAATTCGATTATAGAACCAGAAGTTTACAACGATAATTCTTGTAGGAAAAAAATGTATTTTCAAAGAGTAAATTATAGACGATTATTTATGTTGCTTGTGTTTAGTATCTTTCTTTTAATTACTTAATTTTTAGGTAATTTAAATTAGCAAAAATATGAGTAAAATATGATATATCGACAGTGAATATATTTACAACCAGATGAAAATCTCAATAAAAAGCAAATCAGCATTGATTTGAATAATTATTTGACACTTACTGCTGGCGCTGTAGTTGTGGTAGTCCATTTAGGGAAATTTGCGTGTGATTCTTCTAGACAGCCTTGCATTATTATTAATGTTTACAGGCCTCTAGACGTTTTTCTTGTGCAGTGTTTCACTGCAATAGAATCTGCTCTTACTTTTATGTTAAGACGGACATCACTTATCATCTTTTTCTGAGACTTCAACATTGACGCTCGCTCCTCTACCTCTGGTTACTCAAAAATGCAAAATTATTTTGAACAAATGTTTGACCTTATTCAATTGATCAATGAGCCAACGAGAATTACTGACACAAGTTCTGCTATGCTAGTTCATATTTTTTCTACCAACCCTTTGAAAATTGATTTATCAGCTGTGGTTAATTCTCTCGGTATTAGTGACCATCGTACGGTATAAGATATGTTCGATTGCTCTGCGTGATAAAAAGGTACGTAGACATAATGTAACCTTCAGAGATTTGCTAGGTATTCAACTGAAATTGTTCAACTTTACGACAGGAAATATTTTTTGGAATGTGATTTATAAATGTTCCAGTATTGATGAAAAGGAACCGACGCTAACTATCGCATCATGGTTGAATTATTGATGTTTATGCGCCATGAAAACTTACTCTGCGAAAAGATGCTCACCACCATTGATTACTGTTGACCTCAAACATATGACAAGAAAAAGAATCTCTTTTGTTGATTAAAAGCAAGAAAAATCTACCTCCAGATAAAATATATGGATAATGGGATATAATATAAATTACACGGCAAAATATAAGCCGACGCGTGGTTTTGTGTTAGAACGTCTTGGACGCGAGCGGTGAGCTTACGTTGACGTTTTGGCTTCTGGCTGAGACTTCTATAGGGAGAAAGCTCAAGACTGCAACTGTCTGTGGGTCATAATCAATTCCGGACTATCCATCATTTGATAATCCCGAAAGTATTAATAACACAGTCCAACAAATTTAAACTCTGTTTTGCCGCGAGATGAAAATATGTTTTCTTAACTAAATCACATACGCTGATTGCGAAAATGAAATTAGACATGTTCCATCACGTACCAATTTCCAACCTTACTTCAAGATCCATCTTTAAAGATCATATTAAATAAAAATGCTATCTTCTTAGATAAATCTGGGATTTCAATGAACATGACACCTGCACCTCTTTCTTATGCGCCCTTTACGCTATCCGAGGACATGACATACCAGCCCTGAGGAAGACCACGACAGGATGGTCGAAACGTCGGCAACTCAGCCTTCGACGCGGCGTCACCCGGACAGCCCAGATCACCCACATCCGAGGACATGGTTTAATCAGAAAATTTGGGACCATTTTTGAGAAAAGTATTTAAATGTTTTGAGGCTTCATGTTACGTATCCTGAAAAATCATAATATCTATTTGAAACTCCCAAAGTCTCGAGTTCGTTAAGATCAGTTATTGGTTGCAATGTTCCTGTTGCTTTAATATTCCTTTCGGCTGTATGCGGCATGCAGATTTTATATTGATTTGTAATATCTGGCTTGCAGCTATTTTAGTTAAGTAATGTTTCTTATAACTTTCAATAATACATGCAAGTAGGGCTCTAAAACAGAATCGTTCACCAAAACTACTGGAATTTGTTGGAAAGAAAGGGCACGTACTAGAGTACGAATGTTTGAGCTAGTTTGAAGAACTGTTTAATGTTTTGTTTTCCTTTGTATAATTAATTTTCTATTTGGAGCACTCAGAAATTATTTTAAAATTCGTATTGAGAATAGCTAAGTTAAAAAACACAATAACGAATTTGGCGATCCAGTAAATAATTTCTTCGAAGTCAACGGTTTTAAATATTTTCAAAAATTCTAATAGAAAAAATAATTATATAGCTCTGTTATGTTGTATACCGTCAAGTTCTCTTCTTTTAAGTTGGAAGGAGATACCGTCGATTTTTCTTTTCAATGCTGATGACACGCATTATTTCGTTAATTTATACATGTCTTACATTGCCAATGGAAAAAGTGAAGAATTAGAGGAAAAAATAAAATAAATAAATATCATCTATGCTTGCTGCTGCCGCTCCTCGTGTGTCTGTGTGTGCGCAAGGAAGATTCCCCCGCGCTTGTGTGCGTTTACTCGGAGTCAACACATTTGGAAAGCACGCTTGCGTGTGAACATGCGCAACGGGAAGCCAGCAGTTTGTGGCGGTGCACACGCCAGCGATCTGAAGCTAACGAGGCGACCTATTAGAATGTGACGTCAGACCTTCCGTTTCAACAACATACTCACCAAAGCCACCACGGCCAGAGGACAACGGTGTGTGTGTCAATATTTCTTTCCTCCGGAATTTTTCCAGAGGCGTATGTGTCTTTCTAAAAGAGAAAATTATATTAAAAAACTTAGTTCAAAATCTAAGCAGATTTATATTTTCGGTTTACCAATGAATTTGTGATTCTTTTTATTACATGTAGTAAATGCCAAATCGAAAGTGGTAATTTGTTGTTTATAATGTTATCTATTGTTTTAAAGTTGTAAAAGGCGACTATTGAAGAAACGGTTGCATTAGAAACGTATGCTTACAATAATGTAGTAGTAGGAGCCCGTTCAAAGAAGTTAACAATTTTTCATAATGCAATGGTTATAAATGAATATTCATACAGAAACTTTTCCCATTTTTATAAAATTGCGTTAGATTTACTTGACCAATTTAACTACAAAAAAAGTGCCGTTTTCTAGAAAATTTTAAAAATGACCTTGGAATTTATATAAATAACTCCTTCAATTTTAGTTTTTTTAATCACAGGGCCTTTATACAGCTAGATCTGAGAAATGTGCATTTTTAAAACGTTCGTTTTAGTTACGATAATATGTGCTTGGATCCTGTTACCAGAATATCTGTAAATTTCCAAGAAATTGTACCTTTTAAACCAAAGGAAAAAAATATTGAAATCAGAGTACATATACTCGTACAAATGTTTTGCCTAAGCAAACATAAGGAATAAGCTTTGACGACGAATTTTATAATTTCCTTTCTAAGTTGGTTTCTAATTGTAAGGGGAGGAAAGAAAGCCTTTTGGAATACAGAGCAGCGAACGTTCGTTAGCTCTAGGCAATGTGGCATTTATTTCATTTCTTGAAGTATTAACTGAAATTCCCTTGCCACCTTTAGCTTTTACTTTCCTTGCTGCAATATCTGCTTGTTGCGCGTATGTATTAATTGGCCAACTGCACATTTAATTGAAGGCAATGGTCTCCTGCTCGGGCAGGGAATAATTAATCCTTCTTAATGAAGTGATAGGGTGATGATAAGGGACGATCACAAATGTATCCATGTCCGACGCGGGATTCGAACCCGCGATTCTTCGATCCGAGATCACCATTTCGGCTATCCGGGTCGACCTACATATATATCATAGTAGTTGAAGTATCGGTAATCCTACAACCGATGCACTAGAAAATAGAAATGCCTTAGTCTTCAGTATAGCCTTTGGTATAGCTCAAATCTGTATTTTTTAAGCTGAAGCAAGTTTTGGTACGCCCCAGTATGGTAATCTAAAATATCATCATGATGGACTTTGTAATGTCGGTGTATTTCCGATAGGTGATTGTCCGCCCCCGATATGCCGCAGGTTCCCGTTCGTCGCGCCGCTTGGGCGCGCAGAGCCCCCGCCTCACGTGGAGCGGTGCACGAGCAGGGAGGAAAAGTGGCGTACGACGTGGTCCATGGCCCCACAGACAGCTTCACCTCCCCTGATCGCAGGCCGAGCGTATAGGGTCGGATTTAAGCAGAGCAAGCAGTTGCTTGGAGGCCCCCATCCATGAGGGGCCCCGCGCTTTGCAAAACTAGGCGTAACATATTTTGAAACAAAATGTAATATGTATATATTACATGCATTAAAATATTGGTTTTCAATCGTATTTGAACAGAAATGTCTTGTATTAGGATAAGTTTGTTTTTTATTTAATAAAGATGAAGCTATTTGTATGGGACGACAACAAAATTTTCTGCTTGGCGGCCCCGCACCACTTAATTCCGGCTCTAAGAGCTTCCACTCCTACCACTGCCTCCTCCGTACTACGCAGTGCATGGGAAGCGACGGGGGTGAGATACGCGGCGGATTGAAAAAACCAAGCCTGCCACTGCACACAACCAAACATCGATGCCCGGGGTGGGATTAGAACGTCTGGAACATTGCCTGACCCTTCCAGTCGAGATGGCTAACGGTCCACGAAACAGGGGTCAAAGTTTAAGACGAGAAAGGGTAGCTCTTCTTGCGAATCCTTACGAGGGACGAGTAGCTGATGTTGGAATGGAGTTGTTCTCCCCATAGAGCCCTTTTCGAAACTATTGTCTTCAAGGTTCTTAATAATCGTGACAAAGGATATTGCCCATTTTGTTAAACAAAGCCTGTCGGAAAAATATTTTGTTGTTACTTTCTAATTTGCATTTCGGATCTTGCTTCGTGGCAATGGCGAAAGTTTTTTTTTTAACGGAAAGGTCGCTGAGACATTGTTCTTCAAAAGTGTTTTTTTCTATATTTATTACTCGTGAACCTGGCCAACGAGATAAGCAGTGAGCGATATTTACGAGTGATTGTTTCAGAGGTGTGGTGCATAGGAGCAAAAGACATCATTTCGATTCTAATGTCGTTCAGTGAATTCGTTCTCTTAAAAATTGAGAATGAGATTTATGTATTTACTACTAAGCAGGGCAGCATTTAAACATCTGTATTTGACAGTAATGCTAAAAGAAAATCGAGACGCTTTGGATATATATTTTATTAAATATTGCTCTTATTACATACAGCATTTTGATTATTATCCAAAATACAGTTGGATATGAAACTCATTGATAAAGTTAGTACTTTTGATTTTTTCGTGATGTCAAGGTAAGAATATCTTAAAATATTTTTTATAATTCGAATATAATTTATTATCTTAATGAATAACAATTGGTCATTAACGTGCCAATTTATTTAATTGAGGATGTAAACATAATCGTAAACGTGTTAATGATTTGTAATCTGGGGGAAGTGCATTCGCGCGGCTAAAATGGCTGCTCTTTCGCAGGTTGCGTGAGTGCGAATCCGCTGCGAAGGCACTGGCCTCACTTGCGGGCCATGTTGGGTGACTGAACCCACAGTAACTGTTGCGCCTCGCTCAGGGTCTTCCAGTGACGGCCGTGACTTCCTGCTTAGCATTTCCTGTAATCCGACCGTTGTTGCACTGGCTCACGTTTTGGAGCTGACTATTCCTGGAATTAATGTATTTTTTTTTAATTCCATGAAAATAGCTAAATGTATAAACATTTTCGAATTTTCCTTATAATTTCTTCATGAAGTGTGATGCAGAAATGCTATACAAATCCAGAAATTTGAACGTAGTTGTTCCAAGAGTGAACCCATTCCCTCTCCCCCAAACCCTTAACCCCACCAATTGTGAATTATTTGGCTTCAATTTCATTGATATGTAGTTACTCACATCTTCATAGGTTTACTGTCTTTGACATAAGGAATTATGAATAGTATGTTATTTAGAATTTTCTACAACGATTCGCGATACATGTCAAGCATTCACCATTTCAACATTGAGAATCCGACCCAAAGTGAATCTATTGTTCGTAAGTATTTTGTAAATGTAGTACTTCAGGAGACAACTGTGTATTTTTGCGCAGACTTTGGGTTGTATGTTTTATTGCGATTCCTCGGTGCCTTGAAGACAATATCAAGAATGTTAAAACGGTCTCTTAGGTTTGGATGTAATCTAAAATCTTATTTGATAATTTTCTAGAGGTTTTATGAGTGATGATTTGATGTACTAGCTTCATAAATTTATTTTATGAAATAATTTATTTTTAATAAATTATTAATGAAAATAATACGTGATAAACAATGATCATATTATTTTTTTTACAAACTTGACATAAGTTTATTGAAATAATTTTAATGATCTTTTCATCGTTGCAGAAGAAAGGTTTTAATTTGAGTGGAACATTAATTTCATTTCGCCGCCAAAGACAGAGTTTTAATATACATCCCGACTATCAAGTGAATGCAATTTTTACTTTTAAAAAGGCACGCATATTTCTTCACTTCACACCACACACTATTGCACACAAAACACACACACAAACGACTGTCTTTGAAATGTTACTTTTCTTGTACATAAAAGATAAGTTATCTTCTGAATTAAAGTCATATCCTCGAAACCTCTTCCTTTTCTTGGAGCAGTTATTACGTCCCCTAATTATTTGCTCATGAGCAGCAGTTGTAGTAAAAATGCTTCCTTCGTCAATGTTTCTCATCTGCGCCTCTTGTGTTTTTTTATTTACTTATTTAAGGTCGTATAGCGGTCATTGTAAGTAACATTGGGGTAACTGGAATGGCATATGGGCACACACTAATATCCACGCTCCTGGCGGGATTCGAACCCGCAAACGGTTCAGATACGAGGCAGCTCTGGCTATTCAGTCTGAGCGACCTCGGCTATGCAGGCCGGCCCTTTTCCGCTTGTATCCCTCTGTAAGAGAGAAAAGATTCGTCTACCGGGAAAAACTCTACCTTTGGTCTGTGCGCAGTATTCATTTATTTTTCGTCTAAACTAGTTAAAGTTGAGTAATCCGTTTGCAGGGAGGGTGAGAAATCTTTATTCACTATCGGAAGGAAGGCGTTTGATTAATGGAGCAAGGGAATATTTTAATATAGTGGTTGGCCCAGTAGGACTCGACTACCAAAGGGGTGTCGGTGTCGACCCCCTGGGGTTAATGAAATTTTGAAGTAGGTAAACGATAATCATGAAGTCAGTTGGTGGTTGGGAAATTAATTGCTAGGTGTAATCAAATCCAAATAATTGCAATTATATTAATAAATTTGGTAATAATTTTGGTAATAATTATAATAAATTAGGAGTTAGAGAGTTAGTCATTTCGACTTTCTGTACAGGGGCATCCAAGAACCTAGTTTTACAGAAAACCCAAAAAATAACAGACTTTTCACAACGATACGCTATCGCGGAAGAAATTACTTCATGCAATACGCAATGGAGAAATGTTATGTCAAGTTAAAATTCTACATTTTGTAGTAATTGCACAATAATAAAGATTGGAAACTCGGCTACTCAGAAGAGGAAGGAATCCCTAGGGTAATATACCCATGGTTTCTCATTTTCACTTCACTCCGAACTAAAAATGGAACAATGGTCTTCGCGAGTAATTTGTCAATCTCGTATGGAAATTTCTAAAATATCTGCATTAAAAATCTTGATTATCTGTACATTTCAGAATGGGCGTTGATTATAATGCTGTGCAAACCCATAATGAATAGCTCGAGGTCTCTGACTTTCGAGAAAGTCGATAACCTCGTCGACGTATCGCAACCGAACGCAACGAGATGCTGTCCCGTTAGTTGTCCTTGTGTGCGACGGCGTCCGTCCGTGCCAAAGCGGAAGTTCATGTTCAAAGGGCGCATTTTCACTGGTGTAGCTCGCATGAAAATATATGATTTTCTAAAAATAAAATATTTGATCAATATTGTAATGTCAAAGTAATCAAATAATCATAGGTCACAATCCTCTTCATGTTCAGTAACGCGGACAGCCTGTAAATTAACACGTCCAGAAATCCTTTACTGTAAGTCAGGTATTTGAACGAAATTAAGATTCATGTAACTTCGAAGATTGATCTTTTTACTTACTCGTATACGTGGTACGTATATATGGAGTAATATACGTACTGTAGAGAAAGTTCCGTAGTTCGGAAAATCGATTTGGAGGTTTCAATGCAAATATACGTTTTGGGGTCCCCTGATACCAAAAAGTGTTGTTGTTTTTTTCTTTCCAGAATGTTCTTCCGTCGGCCCGATGTTTTTAGCTCTAAATTCCGTAAACTGAAATATATGAATTCAAGGATGAATAAAATAATAATATGACTTACAATAGTTCTAAATGGTTAGTTTCCTGGAGTTATCAGGAGTTTTTAAAAAAAATTATTTCCTCTATTGCGACAGGTTTGTTCTTATACGACGTTAATTATGCAGTACTTAGTTTTTGGCTTTTTAGGAATAGCCATCCACAGGCAGTGGTTTTTATTACTCGAAAAATGTAAACATTGTGCTAAATTAAATAAAGTGACGTTGAAGACTTTCAGTTTTGATATATTCACAGTTATGGGGGATTACGAATGAATCGTTGTTTGGGGTACCTGGATTTATTATGCAACATTTCGACCTAAGATTAAGGAGCATGAGCACTAAGATTAAGGAGCATGGGGAAGAGTGAAGGTTTTGATAAATATTTTGAGCTATTTGTAGTATGTGCTCGCTTAATGAAGGCACTTTTATTTTCCTGCGAATGTAGATGTTTGGAATATCAGGTGTTGAAGAGTGTACTGATTTGAAGAAAACCAATAAATATTGCGGTATCTCTCCTTGAGGCGACTGCAGCGGTAGCTTTGCTTTGCAGATGCGCAGATGTGTGGGTGTGTGAGATTTCGTCATGGGCGGCTATTCCACTTCCTGAGAATTCCAATCGAGACGTTTGAGGTATCATTCGACACGTCTCGGCCACCTGTTGGGGAACTGATAATGTTTTCGGATCCTGTCAGAAGATTCAAATACATTTCAGAACACGTGTTTTTTCGTGTTTTAGAGCTGCGATCTTAATGACAATGCCATGAATTAAACTAACGCCTCCTAAATCGATCTATGTAGGTGGCATTGATTAAACACTCGTACCCAAACAAATTTTTAGCAAAATACGCCATAATTTTCTTTCAGTGAACAATTGAATTACCAAGCAAAATAGTGCTGCAGATTGATTTCAATTTAGATTCGAATTATCGTATTTTTGAAAATAAATTTGCGAAAATCTACGAACAGTATTGCTTCGGAAGTTATGAAACTTGAAGAATTTCAAGTGAATTCGGGGAAAACAAACACGGAATAATTCTAGAGAATGAATGACCGTTATGTTCGACTTCTCACTTTTACGTTCTTACATAAGTGTGCAAATTCCGGTTTTTCGAATTAATGTGATCCACAACTTATGTTTATTAAACTTAACTAACACCTTATTCACGTAAACACAAAACAATTAATAGAGCAATTGGAGAAGTAGAAATGAACACAAATTAGACTGAGTTTGTGAAGTTTCAATATCTTCTAATATTAAGGGAGGAAAATATGGAAGTGCTAAGAAAATCCATGGAATAATCAAATGTAGTTGTAGAAGATGTTGCGACGGAATTTTCAGATCTAATTGGGAATGATCTGCATTTGTGCAAGCAAATGCAAATGTGCTAGGTGCATTTTTGTGCATATTGGCAAAAAATCTTAAA